GCTATCCTTTTCAGATTGTGCGACACCTTATAAATATAAGGTAGCACTACAAAATTCTTTGGTTTCCTCTTAGGTACAACGGAAGAGCATTTCAACTTCTTTAGAAGGGATTCCGCAACTCCCTGTATTAAAACCGAGGGAAACCCGGAGTGTTCCAAGCGAAGTGTCTGGAGGTCAAAACTTTCACTAACTACATGCGGACAGGACTTCAACAGAGCCGACCGGAGGCAGAGCGATGCGATGCCCCTCTTTATCAATTTAGAGTGGGCTGAGTCAAAGGCTAAAAGGGCCTTTTTTGTGCGTGGCCTGTACATCCAGCACACATGGTCAAGGGAGTTAAAAGACAACCGGACATCTAAAAACTGTAAAAAACCTTCCAACGGAAGTTCGTACGTGAAATGTAAATGCTTAGAAGATTTGCTAAAAACTTCCAGAGTAGTCTCGACTAAAGAGACCAGGCTTTGCTCTGCAGGAACACTAACAAAAATAATAAAATCGTCGACGTACCTACAAACCTTCACAACGGGGATGTCAACCAACTCATGCAAAACCGAGCGGTCAAACTTGGCAAGAAAAATCTCACATAGTACAGGCGCCACACTAGACCCGATACAAATGCCACGCCTCTGCACATACACCTTGTCCTCAAAGCAAACAAGCGTTGAGTTTAGGTAGCAGTCCAACACTTCCAGGAAGGCATCAACCGTAACCCCACACGCGTTTTGAAACGCAAGAACGCCCGATGTCTCAATCAGTTCCCGAACAGCAACTAGAAGTTGCTGTTCGGGAACAGCAACTTCTAGTTGCTGTTCCCGAACTCAACGCTTGTTTGCTTTGAGGACAAGGTGTATGTGCAGAGGCGTGGCATTTGTATCGGGTCTAGTGTGGCGCCTGTACTATGTGAGATTTTTCTTGCCAAGTTTGACCGCTCGGTTTCGCATGAGTTGGTTGACATCCCCGTTGTGAAGGTTTGTAGGTACGTCGACGATTTTATTATTTTTGTTAGTGTTCCTGCAGAGCAAAGCCTGGTCTCTTTAGTCGAGACTACTCTGGAAGTTTTTAGCAAATCTTCTAAGCATTTACATTTCACGTACGAACTTCCGTTGGAAGGTTTTTTACAGTTTTTAGATGTCCGGTTGTCTTTTAACTCCCTTGACCATGTGTGCTGGATGTACAGGCCACGCACAAAAAAGGCCCTTTTAGCCTTTGACTCAGCCCACTCTAAATTGATAAAGAGGGGCATCGCATCGCTCTGCCTCCGGTCGGCTCTGTTGAAGTCCTGTCCGCATGTAGTTAGTGAAAGTTTTGACCTCCAGACACTTCGCTTGGAACACTCCGGGTTTCCCTCGGTTTTAATACAGGGAGTTGCGGAATCCCTTCTAAAGAAGTTGAAATGCTCTTCCGTTGTACCTAAGAGGAAACCAAAGAATTTTGTAGTGCTACCTTATATTCATAAGGTGTCGCACAATCTGAAAAGGATAGCATCAAAGTTCGACGTGGACGTTGTCTTCACTGCCCCGTGCAGATTGTCAAAATTGTGCGCTATGGTGAGCGGGCCGAAAGTGAAGAAACCTGTTTGTAGCAAGAAACACGTGACAAAGTTTGTACCTTGTGCCACTGAGGTGGTTTACAGGATTCCTCTAACGTGTGGCCGTGTTTACATAGGGCAGACGGGACGTTGCTTAAATGATCGACTTCGAGAGCATGCGGCTTCTCTTGGCAACAATTACGGTTCCCACTTACCGGGGCATTGTAGAACTTGTGGTTGTTCCCCCAAGCTGGACGGTGCGAAGGTGGAGGGACGAAACAAAGGAAGGAGGGAACGTGAGTTGCTGGAGGCAGCGAAAATACGTGATTGTGACAAAGACGTTTGCATAAGCGTCGCATCGGTGTATATGCAGCAGAAAGAGTACCATTTCATTAACACTATCTAACTTGACAATATTAACGCGGCGTTTTTTCTATTCTCTTCTCGTTCGGATTGTGCGGCGGGGCGATGTAGCTGTTTTGCTGACTTTTTGGAACAGGCGGTGGGCGGTATGATTGTGCGGATTTGGCGCTACGCCCTGTCTCTGTTGAACGAGACTAAGCGCGTGCATGGCGATAGCAGAGTTGGAAGCTTTCAATAAAGTTTAGTTGCCAGTTAGCGTTTGTCCTGTGTGCTTCTTCGTCTTTTTGTCCCGTCTCTTTTGCGCTATTTTTAATATGAATATAATATGAGTGGTTATGCTAGAATGTGACCCTTTGTGTGAGCGTCCCACAGCCAAGGTCAAGGGAAATAAGAGAAGGTTTACCAAAGTGTCATTGTCCTCTTGTCATGTGTGTGTGTTTTTTTTTTTTTTTTTGTAGAGACGGCGTTGGAGATGGGATATACCGGGTGAAACAAGGAGACGGTAGGCTCTTTAAATCGACCGGAAAATTCGGTTTCTTAACCTATCGCGCTACGACTTTGTGCAGCGTTGCCCACAGATGGTGCATTTTTTTCGTAAAATTTGCAAAGAGCGATCTTACCTGAGGAAAAAGTAAAGAAAGAAAAAGGCTTAGCTCCTATGGAAACGCAGCGACGCCACCGGTCTGCAATCAACACGGCGCCGTTTCGCACGGTAGACAAGAGATGGCGCAAGCGGTCGCGACGCCAATTGCCGCCAACAAACGAGCAGACGACGCCGAGAACCGGCGTTTTTAGCAGACAAGGAACTGCAGTTGCTTGTTGTTACCGCGCCTGTTTTTGTTTCTGCAACTGTCGCCGTTTGCGGAACGCGCGCCGGTTTTGATTCGAAAAGATCGTCTGCTAAAAACGCTGGCTCTCGGCGCCGTATGCTCATTCGTTGGCGGCGTTCGTTGCGCCCTCTCTTGTCTACCGTGCAAAACGGCGCCGTGTTGATTGCAGACCGGTGGCGTCGCTGCGTTTCCATAGGAGCTAAGCCTTTTTCTTTCTTTACTTTTTCCTCAGGTAAGTTCGCTCTTTGCAAATTTTACAAAAAAATGCACCATCTGTGGGCGACGCTGCACAAAATCGTAGCGCGATAGGTTAAGAAACCGAATTTTCCGGTCGATTTAAAGAGCCTACCGTCTCCTTGTTTCACCCGGTATAAAGCGTGTTCGAAATAAACTTTGCAGCTGAGTTTGAGACGTTGCCTCCTCTTTTACTACCTTCTGTTGTGTTCCTCTTTCTGCCCCAGTCTCAGGTTTACAATCATGTTCAACTTACACCAGCTCGCCTGCACTCTGACTATTTTTTTGTGATGAGGATGATGTTCATGATTGGCGGCTGTGGCTAGTACCCTAGCTCCACCGCGCGGCAGAAATAGCCGCGAGCTATATTTTACTGTCGGTCTCTCTCGGCCAAGGAGGTTGTTCCCGACAAATGCACTTGCCTGAGTAGAGTTTTGCGTGACACCGAAAATGGTGGAGACCATGTTCCACAGCGGTAAATACGTACAATCCCGCTAGATGCTGTCTTTATGTGGACAACGTCTGAACATGCACAAGCGTCAAAAAAGACCTCTTAATATTATGCATTGAGAGAGCGTTTGGGATGACGCAGCAGTACCATGTTTGGAGACAGGGTATCTGGTCCGAACCGCCAGCAGCACATCTGAGTTTAGACTGAGCGCTCAGCAATGCACAACAACAATGTATTGTTTCGAAACACTGTAGATATCAGGGTCTTATCTCTTTCGCTGCTAGCTCTATAATCCACCTAAAAAATCAGCGCCCGTGTGATATCTGCTTATACTGTAGTCAGAGGTTTATTTTAGGCGGAAAAGTTCGCCAAGTGATATTTCATAACGTAAATCCATTCCTGCGCAAAAAAAAAAAAAAAAGAAAATTGAACAACAATTTTGACTTTTTCGGCGGTGGGCTCCAACGCAGACAACCAACATGACTGAGAATTGTGTTGGTGACGCTATCTCGCAATAAGTATGCAAGCACCCTCGAAACTATGCTTCGCTTCAGCTTAGGTCCGAGCGCGGCCAATGTTATGAGCCGAAGGGCCAATCAAACAGCGGAAGAGGCGCAACGTCATAACGTGCTCTCTGCAGTTGATAGGGCCAGCCGGTATTCGCCGTCTCTCTGTGCGTGCTTCTTCGCCGGCTAATCCTAACAAGCGCAGAGAGCACGCCATGACGCTGCGCGTTTCGCGCTGTTTGATTGGCCTTTCAGCTCATAACATCGGCCGCGCTCGGACGTAAGGTGGAACGAAGTATAGACGACTCCGTCGTCAGTTTGTACCACCTGTCTGGAAATGGAATCACAAGGATAATCCTGCGTTGCCGCCCGCCATTGAATATGTAAACAAAGAGACGTCTTCCATTTTCAAACGGTCAAATTCACCACAAAAGCATTCGCTAAAAGTTTAACAGGGCGGTGCAACGATTTGCGGACTCGACACAAAAGACGGTTCGCCACCGGGCTGATGGCGAGCGTATCCCCCAGAGCCAGAGACGTTTTCAGCGTAGTTCCCGGAACCGCCTCACGCGGCTGCAGAGGGTCAATAATTCGTTTTTTTCTTTACGGTTACGCAGTTTTTCGGGGCAGGGTGACGCGTTGTTGGTCCCTTGCGCTCATATAGAATAAAAAAATACAAAGTAAAAATTCCATAAAAATTAAAATTATTGCTTGTTAAATGCAGGCACCCAATTTCCCGCTGATTTCTGACGATCCACTGGGTTTATAACGCCTTATAAATTCAGCCTTCTTAAAGAAGGAATAAACATGTTTTCTTATGTTAAATACTGAGTGTTGTGTTCCGGAGAATATAATTTACCATTTATTTCGGCTAGAGACATCTGTATAGACTTAGATATAGAAGCTACTACCCGATTCCTGGCATAAGAACGGGAACTTTAAAAATAAATGGCGTGTTAAGAGACAAACTTCTCACTCCGCTGATGCCGCAAAAGGTTTCAAGATGTTTCCTTTAAAACAAAAATTATATTTATGTCTAGAGCAGTCAACGCCATTGATTCATTCACTTTGTGTTTGTGCACACGCAGGTTACGACGCGCTGTCATTCCACAACAAAGCCCCGTTCACTACCACAGAAAGCGGGAGTTGGACATCCGGTTGCTACAGACTACAAAGTGGTGGCTGGTGGTTCTCAGACAATATCTGTGGTCACTCGAATCTTAATGGACGTAAATTCAAAGAGAGTGGTCCGGAAAATAAAAAGGGCCTTGGTATTACTTGGCACAATCAAAACGATGGAACTTCCGGGAACGACGTCTTCCTCAAGGTGGAGATGAAAATCAGGGATGCCGACTTTGAGTTCTGCATGGGCTCCTTAATATACGGCGTTCTCTGATCTACCTTCTCTGTACTAGTGCAAAAAGTAAAGGTTCCGGCAGAAATGTCCATTCCCTGTGAATTTCTCTTGCCAATTTTTCTTCGCAAACTTAAAAGTGAAACCATGAAAATCAAATGCAACTGCTGGAACATGATATACTTGTTTTGAAGTTTCCGGCTTCCGCTAAGGTCCAACTTAAAATTTTCATAGTAACCCTCCCAGAAACAATATATGTTGTGGAGATAGTCGGCGCAACAAAGCCGTGCAACATAAACACAGTTTAATTGCAATCGCGCAGTGATGTTGTTGCAGCAGTCATAACACTGCGTAAGTGTCCGCTCCTAAAACCCTGCGGCAACTGTGTCGGTCAACCGTTCATTATTTCATGCAAGTTAGCACGCGCCCAGGTCAGGACACGCTACCTGAAATCACCGGTGAGGCATGGTTGTATAAAAACAAAATTAATTGTGCTGCGAAACCTTGTAAACTAAAATTTTAAGAAAACATCACGTGCCTGCTATTTTGTCCCAATCTCCAAAAAACGTTCCTGCAAAAAGAGTTTTTTCTGTTTGTTTTTACGAAAAAACATGCCTTCTAAAAGTTCATGGTGACCAGAGTCCTGATGTTGGCCGGAGCATGGCCTCCGAGATCCCGAAGCGCGCGAACGCTTCTCCGGCCGTCCCATTCGTGCGGAGAGGCCCTAATCGAAAAAAGAGAAGGAGGCGGCCTGTCGCCGCGGGGAGGCGCTCCCAGCCCAGTCATCGACAGCATGGCGCGAGGCAGAAGAGGTCATGAAAAAGTCTTGTTACGTCGAGTTACTGCAACGTATACTTACAAATTTTTGTGTATTGTGGTAGAACGGTGAACAGCTGCTCTGGGGATGTAGATGGACAATTTGTGATGCTTATTTAATTATTTAATTTAAGATAATCAGCTGGACATGTTGCGGCTAGCGCTACAAGCGCGCCTTTTAATGCATTTGATTGCAATCTGTAACACGTATAAAACAAAGTAAAAAATTAGCTCCGTACACACAAAAAAAAAGAATTCATATTTCCCTAAATAAAAATAAGCATGCTGCAATATTTTTTTTATTTTATATTTTACCTTCGCACGTTGTTTGGCAATGCTTTTTGAGCCTCACGAGCTTTGATACTACATAGTAAAGTCCGTGTTGTCCTTCTAATAGTTTTAATATTCATTACGCAATTTTTGCGTGTCGTATTGCGGTATCAGCTTCCACTAGAAGTACGTATACCTTTAAGCCGGGGTCACACTGCTCATACCTTATACACAAAACAGTCTGCACATATCAGTCACCACGATATCCATGGTTCAAATGCCGCGTGCCAAGTGTCTCCTTGAACTCGTTGCCTTGCGGCATTCGAAGCTCAGATCTCGTGGTGACTCGAGTTTGAATCTGTTTGCAGACTGTCTTCTGTATAATGTGCAAGCAGCGTGACCCCTGCTTTGGGGAAAAACGTATGGCGGAGAGGTACAACCACCTCGCAATGATTTCGCCATATTTTTTTTTCATAAACTTCGTGATAATTGAAGCTACTGATTGAAAAGGTTGGGCACTATCTTGAAAACGTATAGTTTTTGGCACATGTAGCACAGACCACCGTATCCCGTAATGCACTTTGTGATGTAACTTAATTGATATGCCAACAAACATTGAGATCTCCAGAGAAGGAACCCTGGTTTATTTAAAATATTCCAATCTTCTTTCAGCCTGGTTTATTTGGTATTCCAACCTGGTATATTTACAGACTCCAAACCTTGATTTTTAAGGTATGACGCGAAGTACTTTGCGAGGCAATATGACTTCAAGCAGTTTCTTTCGATACGCTACTCTGTCTTTCATAGTCGTGCCTATGTTGACCAAGAACGGCCGTACAAACTTTTCTATAACAATCCTAGAATTTTTTGTCCCATGGTCATCTCACAAATTGCACGGCGTGGCAGCTCGCCTGCAACTGCTACACAAATTGATTACGGTATACCCAATAGTAAATACTGTAAGATTTTTTTTTGTGCTGCTATTATTAGTTGGACCAATCTGCAAACCTAGGCAGCTTGTTAAAAATAAAACCACCTGATCTTCCTTTTCTGTGACCAAACATGCCGGAAAGGTCGGAAAAAAAAGACAAGCAGAAGTAAACAAAACCACGAGTCACAGTTGGAAAGGAAGGGAAACATCGCGACGAGTTCGTACAAAAGAAGGGCAAAGTTCTAAATTAGCCACTCTCGCTGCGCACAACCGTAAAAAAATAAATAAAAATAAAATAAAAAAAAACAGAAATGTCATCGTTTTTTTGCGGTGGTCTTTGAGAAATTGTTAAGAAAAAATACCCCTCAGGGGGAACCTCTTTACCCCTATTGGGGATGCAAGCACTTGTGCGTACAGATGGTTTACGCCGCCGAGGGTACGCATTGTATAGGCGCGTGTATGTGCGTGTTTGTGGTGAGAAGCGATTGTACGATGGCGGCGCCGCCGGGGACGAAAAGGAACGTCGCGCCGCTAGTCGTCTGGAAGAGCATTCGCTGCACACACCGAACCATACAAAAACATATAACCACACACACATGCTTCAGCATCTGTTTATCCCCCACTATGGTTCCTCTCCCAACCCCCGAACACAATTCCAAAGGACAAGCCGCCAAAAAAATAATAGTAATAATGGACGTTTTTGGCCCGCTTTGGCCACCCTTGTAGACTTGAATGCAAGGCCCGTACCCGGCCCGGGCCCTTCATGAATGTAGTTGTGAAGCGCTAGCCCGGCCCGAGTGCCGGGCCGGCCCGTGGCCCGCGGTCTGGCCCGTACCACTGCAGATCGCCCCTCTGTTATGACTGGGCAGACAGCGCCGCCTCGCGGCGAGCGACGGAGTTAGCGCAATTACTATCTTCTGCTGGGGAGCGAGACGAATGGGACGGCCGGAGAAGCCTTCGCGAGCGCGCTTCGGGATCTCGGAGGCCATGGCCTGAGAGGTTAGTCTTTCTGTGGATTCTAGTAGAGGGCGCCACAGCCGGCCGTCTGCTGAAGTTCTCCGGCCCCGCTGGCACCGCTCCGCTGATATGTGCGAAGCTCTGTGCGACGACCGCCGTTTTAATTATATTTATTTTGAAATGAATAGTTCCGAAATCATATGCTTGAAAAGTATAATAAAACTGCCTTTTATTTCCGTGCTTTACTGCTGCTTGTCGTTCTCTAATTAGGTAAGTGGTGCGGTAGCACCTTCCGCGCCGTTGCGAGCGAACTCACACTACACTCTCAACAAAAGGGTAGTCGCAGGATAGTCAGAAGCCGTCACAGATATCACTACTCCACCTTAGTAATACTAACGACCCCATGGGTAGTCACACGGCATGCAATCAACATGTAGTCACAGTGAACATCCCCAAAAGCAACATGGCGGCTGGCAAGCGACAGTGGAGCAGTACAAGTAAGGCCTAGCGACCTGGACTGCTTTTTGCTAAAATACGATTCTCAAGTGCGTACGCCCGTTCGCTGCCTTCCGTGCGCACTAATGCACTCCAAAACGCGCCTCGAAGCACCGGCACCGCACCTATAACGAGTAGGGGCCGCGATGTGAGGGGGGGGGGGGGGGGGGGGGTGAGCATTCGAGGGGGTTTGTCCGCGACTGCTTTCGCGCGGCCGTCTGCATTCACTTCGCGGCCAGAAAACATTCAAAGAAGGAATCGTATAGCGAGAAATGAAATGATGTCTTTATTGAACAGAGAATCTGCTTGCTGTGCTTGCCGCAAGTGATCCGGCGTTTTCGGTTGACAGCGGCGAGGCGAGGCATCACCGATTCAAGCGGCGTCGGTTCCGATCGTGCAACGATCCTGCTCACCTTTTAGCATTCGTTATCCACTTTCAAGTCCCTGGTAATCCCCACCGCGTCTGTGCATGCACTATTCACCGCACGGAACACCTATTCAACTGGCTATGGGACTGATCCCACTGGGACGAGAGGCCGAGAACCGAACCGTTTGTGGCTGCTCCGTGGAGCCATGGAGCTCCTCCATGTTTTTCACTCAAATAAGTAGACACATAAACGCGCGACTCCTTGAATTGGGCGGCGCCACGCGCCACCTAACGGACAGAGCTCAAACTAAGAAAAAAGAAACCAACCGTCTTTGCTATGAGCGCCTCGCCAGACATGCGTACTACATATTCCGCACCTCACTTCCCACATACGCGACATACAGACACCATACAATATTATACATGAACGACCTCACAAACAGCACAAGGTACAACATGAGATATTGACACACTACATTCCTATACACACGACTAGTCGACACCACCAGCCTATATAGTGCTGTATTTTCTGTTCCCGATTAGGATGGTGACCACTGTCATATTTTGCATAAATACGAAAAGACTGTGCAAGATTTATCCGTATATATTATTTTCCTCCACTGCCCTTAGGAAAGCGCTCGTATTTCTAATGTAATCCATTGCAAAAGTGAACTGCAGGTTATAAATCAAATTGAATAGCCGCTACACGTCACGTTTTGATCAGTTTCGTTTTCTCACTTGCCTACACTTCAAGTATACAGAACCCTGTTTAAACAATTGTATTAATTATCGAAACCAATTTCTGCAATCACAACTTTCTGAACACGCTGATGCATTTTCTTTTCTCTTTTTACTTATCCGAATGACTTCAGCGGCGGTTGAGTAAATGTTGGGTACACTGAGCGTGCGCAGGTGATTCTAGCGAAGCCCGTCCAAGGTTGGCCCGTCCGCCGGTCCTCCCCGAAGCGTTGTTTCAGTTTTCTTCTTTTCGCTACAATTGTTTCTGCTCAAGCGTGTGTCTTTCAAATAAGCGTTCTATGCGCTCGCGCTCGCGCCAAGAGGGCAGTGCAGAATTGCCGTTTTCGGGCCCGTGCCTTCACCTACAGCGAACGCGAAATACGTATGCTAAATTATCTCAAGCCTGGTTCAGACAGTTGCGTTTGACTGCGTTGCGGCAGCGAGAAACCAGGACATCGCTGCTGCTTCTATCGCGTGCCAGGACGATTCCTTGAATTGGATTCCACG